TGGGCAAGGACACAGGGGCCCCATGAGTTGTCAGTCCGCCCCTGTATATACTTACCTTCTCTGTGTAGTGGTTTTGCACAGAGCAGCCCTGATCCTACTTTACTGGAGCCCCCCATCAGTGCTCTTGGATCCTCCTATTCTTTAAGTGCCCCTAACAAGCCGCTTGATCCCGAGCCACACTGTGTGCATCTATTGACACACACAGCACCACCCAGCACACCACCTGCTCTCAGCTTACTGATTTTGACAAACAGCAGCAGGAGCCGATGCTGCTGAGCCTCCTGAGAGAAAAGGGAAAGATAAGAGCAATGCTGCTGCAGATGGGCACAGCACTGGAATGAGATTGAGCTCAGGTAAGTATTTCAGGGGAGGCTGGGGGAGCTGACATAAAGGTTTTTAATCATAATGCAGAGAATCCTTAATGCTCTTAATTGAGACAAGTACACACTATAGAGGGATATGCTTTGTTCATATTGAATGGCCCTTGTATATGCCCACGAGCACTAGAGGATTCTGCACTTAGAGCATGCTCACTGAGCTCTCCCAGCACAGAGTCCGAGCTGTCAAAGACAGCTTCAGGTTTCTAGTATTGTTTGGGAGCTGGCAGGAATGGCTTCTAATCACATGACCACTATGACAGCCAATCATATGCCAAATTTAAGAATTAGGATTGAGTATTTTTGGCTGGAACTGGCTTTTATTCTCATTCATAACCATCAACCAACAATTATATTGGCTAAATATACAGTATACTATATAGTTATAATGTCTTTTAACATTGATATGGAAAGACATATCCCTCATTTAAAAGATTAAAGCAAATTATAGGACAAATATTATAAGCCAAGTTTAAACACTTACAGGTTTGTGCATTTCTTAAGTGGTCTTTCCATTATATATAATTAGCATCTTTGTATAGCAATAGTTTCTACACATAAACTGCATTAAACCAACTCCACGGCTGTCATTAGAGCACTATTACAGGTTGTAATTACCCATTTATAATTGATACTCATTCTATCTGCTTTTAATAATGAAAGACAGGAGCATTACAGCATTTGAGCAAGTCACCTTGAAGTTAAAAAGGTATTGTGCTATTGCTATGGGTACATTGATTATGTCTTTTATATGCAGTTAATGTGTGAATGTGTATGTATTAATAATTCTATACTTCTTAAGCCCCAGTAGGTTGTCATAAGACGTTATGGCAGCTTGTGTGCAACAATTCAAACAGCTAGTGCCCTTCATTAATGTTGTTGTGGTTTTGTACATATTTTCTTTCTTCATTTGTTATGGGCCGGATGAAAAAAATGAAATAAGTTTTCATTTTTAGTCAGGTAATTGATAAATACTGAAGAAAAATGTTTTTTTTTTTTTTTACCTGATACATAATATCATTTCTCTCTATACAACCTGCTGGAAAAGTTCTGTTGTTTACATGCCTTAATACTTCAAATAGCAATTTCCACACAGAACTAATTGACCCATCACAGTGGTTTACTGGACATCTCAGTCAGACATTTAGAAAAGGCAATCAGTGTCTGTTCTGTTGCCTCTTTGGATAACCCACAGTGCTCTGGGAATCCTTTATTTATTTTTACCAAAGATATATATTGTATTTTTTGCTGCATAAGACACACTTTTTTCCTCCAAATAAATGGGGGGAAATGTCTGTGCATCTTATGGAGCGAATATTGACCAAGACTCCCCCTCCCCGCCGTCGTGTTAGAATATACGGTTGCAAGAAAAAGTATGTGAACCCCTTGGGATTACCTGGAGTTTTGCATGAATTGGGCATAAAATGTGCTCTTAATGTCATCTAAGTCACAACAATAGAAGAACACACAGTCTGCTGAACATAATACTACACAAACATTAGATGTTGCCATGGTTTCATTGCACATAACATGTAAACATTCACAGTGCAGGGAGGAAAAAGTATGTGAACCTTTGGACTTAATAACTGGTTGACCCTCCTTTGGCAGCAATAACCTCAACCAAACGTTTCCTGTAGTTGCAGATCAGACCTGCACAACGATCTGGAGTCATTTTGGACCACTCCTCTTCACAAAACTGTTTCAGTGTAGCAATATTCTTGGGATGTCCGGTGTGAATCGCTCTCTTTGCAAACTTCAAACGTGCTGCAATATTCTTTTTGGACAGCAATGGCTTCCTTCGTGGTGTCCTCCCATGTACTCCATTCTTGTTTAATGTTTTCCTTATTGTAGATGTGTCAACAAAAATGTTAGCATGTGCCAGAGATTTCTGTAGGTCTTTAGCTGACACTCTGGGATTCTTCTTTACCTCATGCAGCATTCTGCGCTGTGCTCTCGCAGTCATTTTTACAGGACGACCATGCCTAGGGAGAGTAGCAACAGTGCTAAACTTTCTCCATTTGTAGACAGTCTTTCTTACCGTGGACACATGAACATCAAGGCTTTTGGAGATACTTTTGTAACCCTTTCCAGCTTCATGCAAGTCAACAATTCTTGATCGTAAGTCTTCTGAGAGCTCTTTTCTGCGAGGAATGGTTCACATCAGACAGTGCTTCTTGAAACCAGTAAACCCAAAACAGGTGTGTTTTTTAAGGGCAGGACAGCTGCCAGCAACACATCCAATATCATCACACTGATTGGAGTCAAGGTTGGCTCACTCCTGGCTCCAATTAGCTCTGGGAAAAGTCATTAAGCTAGGTGTCAGGGCTCCCGGGTATGACCAGAGGTGTGTGACTGACGCAGGGAAACGCAGACTTTAGATATGTTAAAACAATGTAATTTATTAACACTAACAATACAAACATAAACGCAGTGCAATACTAAAACATAACACAGTGCAAACAAACCAAACCAACCACCCACAGATAACAGTACATACAATGCAAGCGTCGTTAGGCAGGCCGGGTCAATATCAATCGGGCAGGTAGGTACAGGGGGAGCAAGCGGAGAATGGTCGGAGTCACAAGCCAGGTTCAGCAGGTAGCGGGCAGCGTGGTACAGAGGGTCAGGCAGAGGAGAATGGTCAGACAAGCCAGGGATCAGGAGCAGGAGAATGGTCAGACAAGCCAGGGATCAGAGCAGGGTCAGCAGAGAATCAGACAGGAACAGGGAGCAGGAACAGGATACAGGGCCCAGGAGAAACACAACACCAAGGCAGAGTCTGCAGGTCTGAATGTCCCTTAAATACACCAGTATAATTAGTTCCAGGTGTTTGACTGGCTGCAAGGTTGAGTCTCTGATTGCTGGGAGCACCCGCTGGCCAGCCCTGGTACTGCAGCTCATAAGGCAGCTGAGTCCCACTATTGCTGGCCAGTCCATTCCTGACAGTACCCCCCCCTCAAGGAGCTGCCTCAGGACGCTCCAAACAGTCTAGCTAGCTGGGCAAAATGTTCCACCGCCCGGGTCTGGTAACTGGCGGGATATCAAAGACTGGCACACTGGGCAGGACTCCGGGCAGGGGCACACCGGGCAGAGGCACATCGGGCTGGACTCCGGGCAGAGGCACATCGGGCTGGACTCCGGGCAGAGGCACATCGGGCTGGACTCCGGGCAGAGGCACTCCGGGCAGCGGCACACCGGGCAGAGGCACTCCGGGCAGAGGCACATCGGGCTGGACTCCGGGCAGAGGCACATCGGGCTGGACTCCGGGCAGAGGCACATCGGGCTGGACTCCGGGCAGAGGCACATCGGGCCGGACTCTGGGCAGAGGCACATCGGGCCGGACTCCGGGCAGAGGCACATCGGGCCGGACTCGGGCAGAGGCACATCGGGCCGGACTCCGGGCAGAGGCACATCGGATTACCAGGCGAAGCAGCAGGCACCGGGCCACTGGTTGGAGCAGCAGGCACCGGGCCACCAGGTGGAGCAGCAGGCAGCGGGCCACCGGGCGGAGCAGCAGGGCAGCGGGCCACCGGGCGGAGCAGCAGGCACCGGGCCCCCAAGCGGAGCGGCGGGTGCCGGGCCCCCCCAGGCGGGGCGACAGGCATCGGGCCCCCAAGCGGAGAGCGGCGGGGGCCGGGCCCCCAGGAGGGGCGACAGGCATCGGGCCCCCAAGCGGAGCGGCGGGCACCGGGCCCCCAGGAGGGGCGACAGGCATTGGGCCCCCAGGCGGGGCGACAGGCATCGGGCCCCCCAGGAGGGGCGACAGGCATCGGGCCCCCAGGCAGGGCGACAGGCATCGGGCCCCAGGCGGGGCGACAGGCATCGGGCCCTCAGGCAGAGTGGCGGACAGCCGGGCCCCCAGGCGGAGCGACAGGTCTCAGGCCCCCAGGCGGAGCGACAGGTCTCAGGCCCCCAGGCGGAGCGACAGGTCTCAGGCCCCCAGGCGGAGCAGGTCTCAGGCCCCCAGGCGGAGCGGCGGGCGCCGGACCCCCAGGCGGAAGCAGCGGCGGGCGCCGGAGAGCGACAGGTCTCGGGCCCCCAGGCGGAGCGGCGGGCACCGAGTCACCAGGCACGACAGTGGGCTCCGAGTCAACTGGCCAGACTGCGGGCACCGAGTCAACTGGCAAGACTGCGGGCACCAAGAGCCAGCGGGCTTCGAGTCGTCTGGCGGAACAGCGGGCACCGAGTCGTCTGGCAAGACTGCGGGCACCGAGTCGTCTGGCAAGACTGCGGGCATCGAGTCAACTGGCGGAACAGCGGGCTTCGAGTCGTCTGGCAAGACTGCGGGCACCGAGTCATCTGGCAAGACTGCGGGCACCGAGTCGTCTGGCAAGACTGCGGGCACCGAGTCGTCTGGCGGAACAGCGGGCATCGAGTCAACTGGCGGAACAGCGGGCACCGAGTCGTCTGGCAAGACTGCGGGCACCGAGTCGTCTGGCAAGACTGCGGGCACCGAGTCGTCTGGCAAGACTGCGGGCACCGTCGTCTGTCGGAACAGCGGGCATCGAGTCGTCTGGCAATACTGCGGGCACCGAGTCGTCTGGCGGAACAGCGGGCATCGAGTCGTCTGGCAATACTGCGGGCACCGAGTCGTCTGGCAAGACTGCGGGCACCGAATCGTTGGCAAGACTGCGGGCACCGAGTCGTCTGGCAAGACTGCGGGCACCGAGTCGTCTGGCGGAACAGCGGGCATCGAGTCGTCTGGCAAGACTGCGGGCACCGAGTCGTCCGGCAAGACTGCGGGCACCGAGTCGTCTGGCAAGACTGCGGGCACCGAGTTGTCTGGCAAGACTGCGGGCACCGAGTCGTCTGGCAAGACTGCGGGCACCGAATCACCAGGCACGACAGTGGGCTCTGACTCAATTGGCACAACAGCGGGCACCGGGTCATCAGGTACCGGATTGTCTGGATCAACAGCGGGCATCGAGTCAACTGGCCTAATAGGATCGTCAGGCTGGATCAGTTCATCATGCTGGTAGAGGCATCAGGCTGAATGCAGGCGTCCGGCTGAGTAGAGGCTTCAGGCTGAGTAGAGGCTTCAGGCAGAGTAGAGGCATCAGGCCGAGTAGAGGCTTCAGGCCGAGTAGAGGCTTCAGGCAGAGTAGAGGCATCAGGCAGAGTAGAGGCATCAGGCCGAGTAGAGGCTTCAGGCCGAGTAGAGGCTTCAGGCCGAGTAGAGGCATCAGGCCGAGTAGAGGCATCAGGCCGAGTAGCGGCATCAGGCCGAGTAGAGGCATCAGGCTGCGTACAGGCATCAGGCTGAGTAGAGGATTCAGGCTGAGTAGAGGCTTCAGGCTGAACCACGGAAGGCAGGTTCACCGGTTTGGATACTGGCAGGATGGTATTGGTTGGAAAGAATTTTCGCTTTTTTTCTGTTTTAAACTACTGGAGCACTGCAAGTAAACGCAGGTCTGCAAACAAATGGAGCAGCTGGAGACAGAGAAGAACTGGAGGATGGAACAGGAGAGGGAGCAGTTGCTACAGAGGGCTTTTTTACAGGGTTAAAGGCAGGATAGGTGCAGCGAGTGGGACAGGGTACTGACATGCGGTAGATAGCAGGGCAGGAGGAGCTGTTGGGAATGCAGGAATAGAGTTTTGAGGAAATAGATTAGAAGCAGGACTGGGTTTTTGTAAGCTGACTGAGGCTGGGTGCAACAAATCTGTCCATGTCTGCAGTATGGGTTGAACAAAGCTGAGCTTACACAAAGCCTGTCTGACCAAAGACTGCACTGCGTTTATACAATCTCTTAGTACCTGTGGTGAACATGTGGAATAACGCTCCAGAAAGTAACCCACATCATCCTCTAATAACCACACCAGGGACTCTACCTGGTCTGCACTAAATGGTGGCAAAAATTCATCCCTGCATTCGGGGGTACCAGATGAAACCAACTCAGCACAAACCTCAATCAATGGCTGCACCTCAGAGAACTCTGTGCCCTGATCTACTAGAACATGAGCGAGCCGTATACATTCTAGCAGTTCATCCCGGGTATATTCCTTCAGAGTTTGATAAGCATACTCCCTGTCATCAAACACTAGCAGATATAAATACGCAACCTCATCCAGATCCATCCTTCCCATCAACAAACCAAGATGGCTTCCCTGTGCAGCCACTTCTGGTCAGGATTGGCCTTGGTGTAATGTCAGGGCTCCCGGGTATGACCAGAGGTGTGTGACTGACGCAGGGAAACGCAGACTTTAGATATGTTATAAACAATGTAATTTATTAACACTAACAATACAAACATAAACGCAGTGCAATACTAAAACATAACACAGTGCAAACAAACCAAACCAACCACCCACAGATAATAGTACATACAATGCAAGCGTCGTTAGGCAGGCCGGGTCAATATCAATCGGGCAGGTAGGTACAGGGGGAGCAAGCGGAGAATGGTCGGAGTCACAAGCCAGGTTCAGCAGGTAGCGGGCAGCGTGGTACAGAGGGTCAGGCAGAGGAGAATGGTCAGACAAGCCAGGGATCAGGAGCAGGAGAATGGTCAGACAAGCCAGGGATCAGAGCAGGGTCAGCAGAGAATCAGACAGGAACAGGGAACAGGGAGCAGGAACAGGATACAGGGCCCAGGAGAAACACAACACCAAGGCAGAGTCTGCAGGTCTGAATGTCCCTTAAATACACCAGTATAATTAGTTCCAGGTGTTTGACTGGCTGCAAGGTTGAGTCTCTGATTGCTGGGAGCACCCGCTGGCCAGCCCTGGTACTGCAGCTCATAAGGCAGCTGAGTCCCACTATTGCTGGCCAGTCCATTCCTGACACTAGGGCTTCACATAATTTTCCTCCCTGCACTGTGAATGTTTACATGTTATGTGCAATTAAACCATGGCAACATCTAATGTTTGTGTAGTATTATGTTCAGCAGACTGTGTTCTTCTATTGTTGTGACTTAGATGATGTTCAGAGCACATTTTATGCCCAATTCATGCAAAACTCCAGGTAATCCCAAGGGTTCACATACTTTTTCTTGCAACTGTATAATGCTTGCCACCAACTGGCATCAGCTAAGGGAAGAGGAGGGGTAGTAGTGACATCACTGAGATGTGAAACCTTTGAAATATCGTGTAACGTATTAACAAGGGGAAAATTCTGGAGTAAGACTATTTTGTTGTACAGCCACTGCTCAGATATCACTTACATTCTCCAACTTTGATTTTTTGGTTGTGATTTGAAGGCATTACAGACAGTATTTTTTCAACCAAAATGATGAACACTGGTTCCTAAAATCAAAGCTAAATTTTATTTCCTTTTAATTATTGTCACTGACCATTTTTTGAAAAATACAACAAAATGCAACAGATGCTGAGTTTTCGTCTTTTGTCCCAAATCAGGATTCTTCTGCAAGCATATTGAAAAAATAAAAATTATTTAGAAGTCTATACACTGTTCTCAAAGGAAACTACAACTTTTACTTCTTTTTAATTGTTTATGTTTTTAAATTTAGTTGTGTGTGTATTTCTCTCTCTCACTCTCGTTAAAAAAAAAAAAAATTATATATATATATATATTATCACATCAAACTCCTCAAACCATGTCTTTGTTGGACTTGTTTGGTGTACAGGGCCACATTCAAGGTGGAACAGAATAACACCTAATCCAAATTGTTTCTACAAGACTGGAGGCACACAATTGTCTAAAATATCTTTTCTGTATATTGTGGCATTAAAAATCACTGGAACAATTTTTTAGTAACCCTCACTGGAAACATACAACTCAAGAATTTTGAGGTATGGCACCAATATGATGTTTAGGTCTATATGATGGTTAGGTGACTACAAATGTTAGGCCACAAAGTGAATATATACTGTATATATATATATATACATATAAACATAATCCTGAATTTCTAACCAACCAAATGTATTTATTTCAGGTACTTACATAGCACTGTCAATTTACGCAGCGCTTTACAGATATATATATATATATATATATATATATTATTATTGACATCAGTCCCTAACCCTCAAGGGGTGTACAATCTAAGGTCCCTAATTCACATTCATACATACACATATTAGGGCCAATTTAGACGGGAGCCAGTTAACCTACCAGCATATCTTTGAAGTGTGGGAGGAAACTGAGGTACCTGGAGGTAACCCACGCAGGCACAGAGAGAAAATGCAAACTCCAGGCAGGTGGTGCCATGGCTGGGATTTCTCATTTAGCTGCCTGCATATTTCTCGAACAATGAATGTTTTGCCTAACTGGTCTGGAGCTAAAACCTCATGGTCCATACTGTAGTTAGAAAGTCATTCATCCATGTATGGGCTTATCAAACTTTTTTCTTTCTGCTGTTCAATTGAAAATTGTATTTTCCGTTCTTCATCTAACTCAGTAACATTTGACGTATTTAGAATATTCTGAATGTTACAACAAACAATTTTGATTACTTGTTAACACTCCCTAATTTCAGAAGTCAAATCCTTGATTTTATCAATAGCTCACCATTGAGACTAATTGTGCCTGATAGTGTTTATACACTGATGATTAAATGTAATGTCCTGTAAATAAGGATTCTAGCCTAAAGTCCTCATTTATATATTCTATCCTTAACTACCCACTAGGAAAATTGTATTAAGTACTGCAAAAATTGAGGGCAAACAACATTGTATGTGCCTGGATTCATTTTAATAACTAAGTCCAACAGTTTTTACATTTGCCTTTAGCAAAGAACTTAAAGATATTTAATAACGTGTTATAAATCTCAGCAAAAAATTTAGAAGAGCACTGCTTCCTTTTAGCACTGTTACATTACTTTATAAGAGCTAATTTAATGGTTCAGCTATTTACAAAGGGGTTCATATTCAGCACATTTGCACAAAGCAGGTTGTACTGCATCAAAGAAACATTACTTAATTTTGACATAAATGTACATTTTCCTTTACAATATAAACACAATGGGTTGTGTGTAGGAGGCAAAGTAAAGACCTTATTATGAAGTGAATTATAAATATATATACATACACTCACCGGCCACTTTATTAGCTACACCTTGCTAGTACCGGGTTGGATCCTCTTTTGCCTTCAGAAACACCTTAATTCTTCTTGCCATAGATTAAACAAGGTGTTGGAAACAGTCCTCAGACATTTTGGTCCATATTGACATGACTGCATCACATAGTTGCTGCAGATTTGTCGGCTGCACATCCATGAAACCGTTGATACAAGGCAGGATGGATCCATGCTTTCAGTTGTTTACGCCAAATTCTGACCCTACCATCTGAATGTCGCAGCTGAAATCCAGACTCATCAGACCAGGCAATGTTTTTCCAGTCTTCAATTGTCCAGTTTTGGTGAGCCTGTGCGAATTGTAGCTTCTATTTCCTGTTCTTAGCTGACAGGAGTGGCATCCGGTGTGGTCTTCTGGTGCTATAGCCCAACTGCTTCAAGGTTCAACGTGTTGTGCATTCAGAGATGGTATTCTGCATACCTTGGTTGTAACGAGGGGTTACTGTTGCCTTTCATTCATCTTAAACCAGTCTGTCCATTCTCCTCTAACCTCTGACATCAACAAGGCATTTTCCTCCACACAACTGCTGTTCACTAGATATTTTCTCTTTTTCGGACCATTCTCTGTGAACCCTAGAGATGGTTGTGCTTGAAAATACCAGTAGATCAGCAGTTTTTGAAACACTCAGACCAGCCTGCCTGGCACCAACAGCCATGTTACGTTCCAAGTCACTTAAATCCCCTTTTTTCCTCATTCTGATGTTCGGTTTGAACTTCAGCAAGTTGTCTTCACTACATCTAGATGCCTAAATGCATTGAGCTGCTGCCATGTGATTGGCTGATTAGCAATTTGTTGTGTTACCAAGCAATTGAACAAGTGTACCTAATAAAGTGGCCAGTGAGTGTATATTACGGAAATTTTTTTCATACTTACCGTAATTTTCTTTTCCTGGACTCTCCTCATGTCAGTCTACTACGGGTCAGCTGCACCCTCCTGACCCCTCAAGGACAACCCATAACTAGCCCATAAATCTGAGCTAATCCCCCACTCAGGTGTTCCATCACAAGCCTTGCGATGGAAATGAAAGGTGGGAGACTCAGGCTGATGTGAGGAGAGTCCAAGAAAGGAAAATTACTATAAGTATGATAACAATTTTCCGTATTCCTGGACCTCCTCACATTAGTTTACTACGAGACATAACTAGCAATGAGAAGGCCCAGATGGGAGGGAAAACAACCAAAAAAAAAGATACAGATATTTAATGGGCTCACAGCTGAAGAAATAACTGCAGCCCCAAAGTGATCAGAATCCCTCAAA